GTTTGGTAAATTTCACTAAATGTTTGTTGTATGTTCCATACATAATGAAAAAATGTATTTTGTAAAACATTGTTTTGTTTAGATGTGGTGTGTATTTTACTCACAGTAAAAGCATTAACTGGAGAAGGACGAAGCATTAGACGCGAAGTAATCGTTACAAACGAAAGGTAACATATACTTTCTATGCATCCTACATAAAAATATTTCACATTAATAAACATTTATCATAAAAATATTGTTTGTTACATAAATAGGTATGATCGAAAAGTCATGACTTTATGGGGAGATTTCGCTGAAATCGAAGGTCAAATGTTACAGAGCCTTGAAAGTGACAAACCAGTGCTTGCCTTTTGTGATGTAAAATCATCCATTTACCAAGGTATAAATCTCCTCAGTTGATATATTTGCGTCAAATTCCAAACTGCATAAAAGTATCACTAAATTAATTACTCCTGCCAAAATAGGGGATTTTGTCCTTTCCACGACTCCTGTTAGTAGTTTGCTAATAAATCCACAATTTGAAAAAGAAAACAATCTCCAAGAATGGTAAGTAATACATGTTTCATCACACTTATTAAGAGGCTACCCACATGCTACGTCATTAATGTTTTTCTTTTCATTACTTAAAAATTTCCAGGAATGACAACATGAAGGCACAAAAGATTGACCTAAGTCTAATGCCAAGCAGACTAATGCAAACAGTCCGCCAAGTGAAAATTACTAATATTTTAAACGGTTCACTTGCCATTGTGAAGGTAATTTCCTATACAACACCCATCCTATACTCAAATTATATGTTTCAAATGTAATTAAGTGATTTACCTAATTTACATATAGGACATGTACTATAAGTTCAATGCTACGGTTTCCGGCATTGACAATAGCACCGACCCATGGTATCATGCTTGCAAGAAATGCTACATGAAAGTTACTGTTATAAAAAGTAGTGCAACTTGTACCTATTGTAGGGCTGAAGATATTGATTATGAGAAGCGGTAAACTACACAAATGACTAACAACAAATATTGCTTACTCCACCAGATATATGCAAAATTAATGATTAACTACTTAAATGACTTTACTATGTCACTATCAAATAATTAGCGTCATACTGATTAAATCTTCCAATTTGTTTTAGATATCGATTAAAGATTGATGTCACTGCTGAGGATCAATTCCTAAGGATTACATTGTTTGATGCTGCAAAATACTATTTTGGTTGTGAAGTAAAAGACTATGTTCTCTCTACATCTGAAAAGGTCAATCACTTACTCTATGAAATATTAGCCTATATAAATAACGTTAACCTATTTTAACTGAAATACTAATATATATGGTTTCCTATTCCACAGAAAGAAGAATCAGAATACTATCGCAAGTATTGAGTAAGGGGAAAGAATTCAGTATCCTTGTGAAGATTGATCGTAACTTTCCAAATGTTGAGGCAAACATGAATGTGATAGCTATGGAGATACATGAGGTTCCAAAAAAATTTGCAGCAGATCAAACCAAGGTTAAAACCCCAATTAAAAAACAAAGAAGTAAGAGGATGAAGAAACTAAGTGATAATAAAAAAAATGAAAGAAATAGCTGCAGACATACCTCATGTTGAAAAAGATATTGCATCAGTTGAAATTGACACTGAAATCCCAGAAAAAACAAATAGATGCAAGAGGACCAAGAAAATTAAGGAAGCCACCGCAGAGGAAAATCCACAGAAAGTGAGGATACATAACGTTGAAAAGCAGAATGTACTAGATGAAAGTGACGACGAAACCCCACTAATTTAGCTACAAAGTAAAAGGACCAGGAAGGTTAAAGGAAAAAACCTCATGCCATATCTGATGGAAAATAAGATCAAAGAGGAAAAAAACTAATATATAGTTGATTTATAATTTCCTTATGTTTAACTAACAATGCTTATTATCTCCCTAATACTAATATTTAAAAGCTACTTTCCTTTTTTCACTGAGCAACTTCACCTAACATCGCTTTTATTTGTAACTTACTTTATCCTACATCAATGAATTTGGTTAACTGCTTCACTAAACATTCAATGTATGCAATTTATTACTTTAAAACAGATCAACAACAATCTTCTGCAGCAATCTATACTCTCATACAAATAATAAGGTATGCATACATCCTACCCTATATGTATTTCTTACCTATATATAGAAAAACGAACAATTCAGAATAATAGATGTCTATTTCCTAAATATGCCAAATTAATGACTTCAATTGGCATTAATGATTCCTCTATGTTCTAGATCACTGCAAAATTACATATGCTAGATCGGACAAGACAAGAGAAGTGTCACACCAACAATCCAAAATTTGTCGCCATCAAATCAACCAACATCATGGTAAATGTAATATGTTAAGTAGTTATCATAGTTCAAAATTAAATCTAACCCTTCTATTCAATTCACTTCACAGGTGATAAAGGTAACTCCATTGCTTCTAGCTGTAATGTTGATCAGCAGGCCAAAACAACAATAGATTAGACAGACTATACATGTCGGATCTCAGACAACGCCCCAACAAAATCCACCGTTCAACAATGTGTGACTTCTTATCTCTAAGACACACTACTAAAGTAACTTACAATTACATTTGATTTACACAAATTAATGTTTTTAAAATCACTTTTCATGTATATACAATATATAGTACTCACTCTATCTTATTGTAATAACCATTGCAAACTATTGTCTTGTCATGTCAAATCCAACCGGTGATAAAGGAAAAATCATTCCTTCTACCAGTAAAACTGATCAACATGACTGCCACACAAAATCTGATTTGAGCAACACAGGTAAGAACTTACATAATCATGTAAAATTATACATACATGAGTACTCTGTACAATGGGAACATATTGGCATACGTACATACATAAGTATTACATGCTTTCTCTAAATTTAACAAAAAATGTTCCTCTTATAGAGAAAAGTCAATTGCAATGTGCATTGCGAAAAGTGGATAAATATATATTAGCAACCCAAACAATAGCACATCTAGAAGATGAACATCTACGTTTGAATAAGCAACCTAAAATTAATTGGCTATTTAGAGCATTATCTGAAGAGTCTGAAGCTGGAGGTACATTGGAAAAACCCTATTCATATCTTACATAACTTCAACATTCAATACCTTTATGAAATTAGATTCTTAACGTATATCTCTCCCCATATTTATATATGTAGGAACTATTACTTACAACTTATCTTTATCATATCTGTACGTGTTAAAAACCATCCCAGAATGCATTTATTGGTGCTGCTATTGTCACATTAATGTTGAGGTCTACTCAGGAGTCAAAGCAATAAAGTATCTATACAAGTATATATATATAAAGTTCATGATCGGTGTGCCATTTATGTTCAGTCTGATGATGGTGAAAATGTTATTGACGAAATACAAACATTCCAAGATGCACAGTGGGTCTCACTGCCTGAAGCACTATGGAGAATTTATGAATTCAACTTGATTGAAATGTAACCTACAGTCATCAACCTTCAACTACATCTGCTAGGAAAACATTCGGGTACACATATTAATGCATAATAATACACACTTTCTTTTAAGAATAATTATAATAGTCAAAATACAAATACTAACTCTGAACGAGCTCACAGTGTTTTACTGGAAAAACCAAAATTTACAAAATGTCATCGCCTGGGATGGTGTCAAGCAGACAAAGTTGATCGAGTATTCCAGAATGTGCTCAATTGGCACTGAAGCACACACATACCTTTATAGAGAATTCCCAAAGTTTTATGTTTGGAATTCCAAGGTAAAGACTTGGACAAAAAGGAAAACAAGATCTGTAATCGATCGCATTGCAATTGGTAAGCCAGATGTAGTAAACTATAACTTCATACACATCGATAATTGTTAAACTTATTAATTAGTAGATATTGATTATATTGTACAACTAATCCTCGAGAAGGGGAAATGTATTATGAGCGGTTATTACTAAACCATGTAGAGGACCATTGTCATTCAATGACTTACTCACGGTCAACGAAAAGCAATGTCAGACCTAAAGAAGTAGCCAAAGAAAGAGGGTTACTCGAGTCCGACAATAACATATCAGAATGTTTAAGAGAGGCTGTTATCTTTAAAATGCCATCAGCTCTCCGAAGTTTGTTTGCTACAATTTTGGTTCATTGTAACCCAACGGATATTAGAAAACTCTGGGATACTTATTATGAGGATATGTCTGAGGACTTCAATAGGCTATATGGCAACTTACACAATACTATACTACATTCTACCCTAAATAGTATTAATAATTGCTTGCAAAGTATGGGCAAGAGCATAGATATATATGACATTCCTCAACTAGATCAGAATTTGCTCGAAGTTGGTCCATCAGAATGTAGAGACATAAATGAAGAAATGTTTGTGCAGATACCTACAGAAGATTTTGATGCATAGTCACAATTAAATCAAGAACAAGATCATGCTTTTACAAAAATAATGCAAACAATCGATGTTGGAGTAGCTGAAATATTTTTTGTGGATGGACCTGGGGGACTGGGAAAACATACCTATACGGTGCATTGATTGCCAGTGTTAGATCAAGAGGTATGATAGCTTTGGCAACAACAACCAGTGGCGTAGCAGCTTCAATCTTACCAGGAGGACGTACAACACACTCGAGGTTTGAGATCTCCCTTCTAACAAATGAATCAATTATGACAAACATGTCAAAGCAAAGTGGTGCTGCCAAATTGATTAGAAAAGCAAAAATCATTATATGGGATGAAGCGCCAATGGCCAAACGACAAACAATAGAAACAATCGACAGGAGCTTCAGAGACATAATGGACATCGATAAACCATTTGGTGGAAAAGTCATGGTTTTTGGAGGAGATTTTCGGCAGCTGTTACCAATAGTTCCAAAATCAACTAGAGTAGAAATGGTAAATGCAAGCTTGGTGAAATCATATCTCTAGCCTTTGATGGAGAAGATTCAATTTACAAGAAATATGAGAGCAAGAGCAGATCCAACATTCAGTGAGTTCTTACTTCGCGTGGGTAACGAAGATGAACCAACAATAAGAGACAATCTAATCCTTCTCCCTAAACAACTGACTGTCAAGCATTCTCGGGATGGAATTCCAGAAGAATCCATAATAAAAGAGATATTTCCAAACCTACAAGAAAATGCTGCAACTGCAAAATATGTCACTGAAAGAGCTATTTTAGCAAGCAGAAATGACCATGTGGATAAACTTAATGACAAGTTAATATCCATGTTCCCGGGTGAAAGCAAGATATTCAATAGCTTTGACTCAGCAGAAGATGAGACCAACAACTATTACCAAGAAGAATATCTAAATACTTTAACACCAAACGGTCTCCCGCCACATAAGTATTTGAAGAAAATACATTACAAATTACAATCATGAAGAGGTGATAACAAATATCAAAATGGATAGATTTTGACATATCTTATTAAATGCAGGTTAGAATTGAAGGAAAATGCACCCATCATGCTGCTAAGGAATTTAGACCCTTCAAGTGGCTTATGTAATGGCACACGAATGATATGTCGAGGCTTCTCCCAAAATGTCCTGCATGCAGAAATATCAAGTGGTCATTCTGCAACGAAGCATGTGTTTCTTCCCAGAATTCAACTATCACCACCAGAAAATAAAGGATATCCATTTAAATTAATTCGAAAGCAATTTCCAGTACGCCTTTGCTTTGCAATGACTATAAATAAAGCGCAAGGTCAAACAATTCAAAATATTGGCTTGTATTTGCCCCAACATGTTTTCTTACATGGTCAATTGTACATGACACTCTCAAGAGGGATATCTATGTCCACAACAAAAGTACTTGTCCTAACAAAGCAACCGAAACATCAAAATGGAACATACACAAAGAACATTGTCTATAAGGAAGTTTTAGGTACGATAACCCCATATACATATATGGCCATTCTAACACAGATCGTAGATACTAACAACATTACATTGCTTCAAATCTCAGGTTTAGAAGACCTAGACACACCTATGCAAGCATAATGGATTCTTGATTGACCCATACTCTTCAATGTGTTAATGTCATATTCAGAATAATTCTTTTAAGTACTATTATGAGCTTTCTTGATATCGTATTCCATTCTAATGTTTTAATAGTATTATTATTAATAATTTACAGTACTTTCATACTTCTGTTTTGACACTTCATATTAACTTCAAGTTGACGTTCTTACTTATTATTAAATGTATACGTTAAATCTTTTTCACTATACGAGATCAATAATAGCTCATGCAACCATCAGAAGACTAATTAACACAATGTACACTTTTACTACATCAATAATAAATCACCCACTCATGACAACACTGCTTTACAAATGTCTCTCCACAGAGAATGATACAACTTAACATGGCTCACACGTGCAGCGCATGTGTTCTTGACTAGTAATATAAAAAATGTGAGGGGGTTGTGGGATTTTTGGTTTTTTTTTTCCGTGTTGCTGTCTTGTAGTATTGCTGAATGGTTTTTTTATGTGCTTCATGTGTATGTGTGTTGTTTTTTTTTTTCTGTGTGTTGTGTGCAGATTGTTTTGTTAATATAGGTAGTATGTGTGCTGTGTTGGTAGTAATGTGCATGTGTAGACGTGTGTGTGGGTGTGTAATGGTGTAGTATGGTAGAAAATGGGGGAGGGAAGTGGGGTAGTGGGGTAAGTGTAGGTGGGTTGGGTATTGGGGTAGTGTGGATAGTTTAGGTTATTATTATTTTTAGATTAAATATGTAATACAAAAATAACAAAATTAAGTAATTAGTTTGAACTAATAAAATATAAGAAAAGTCAAGTAGCTAGTCTAAAAATGTAATTAAGAAATACTAGCTTGTTTATTAAAATTTAAATTAAAAGAATACATATATTTTTTGTACTTTTCGAATCTTATAAAATAGATTTACTAAAATATGATGAAAAAATATATTTAATGTAGACCTAGAAGAAATAAAAATGGTGTAACACCTTATGTTCGGTCAAAATTTACGTGTCTACACTCATACATCACATACAAGGTCTGAAACTGAAATACAAAAAATCAATAAGGTATCTCAGTCCTCGAAACATGAGGACTCAACGATTTTCAAAGTCTATGAAAATTACTAGCCACGAGTATAGGAGGTAGGAGCGTCGGACCCAACATAAGTGAAACAATGTGGACACAAGTATGCATTAGTAAATGTAATGTACTAAGTATTAAAACATTATGCATAAAATAGGCATGATAGCAGGAATAACTTAAAATGAGTAGGCATGATCATATTGAAACATTTGAAAGCTTAATAAAGTAATTACATGAGAATCATGGAACATAATAAAAAACATTAACATAAATGACATAAGAAAATCTTGAAGTAAACATAGTCATTTTGTGGGATATTAGCTTTAACAGACAATAAGATCACGAGAGCTATATCATAGATTTTGGTATATCCCTCATATTGAAAGAAGGGAATCTACTTTCCAAGGTAAAATCCGTACACATCATTATTTTCTAAAGTGGATCCACTAGCTAGGTCATTTAAAATAATTCTACCGGGGCACATACTTTGGGACTAGATACTACTGCTAGAGACTATCCTCTTTGAGCCTCTTCCTCAAGCACTCTTGGTGCTAAGTCTTAATCCCAACGGAGTAGATAAAAGTAAAATATCAATAGAACATATGAAAGGCAATGATAAATACCAATCCACTCTTTCATGATCAAAACATAAAATAGCTCCTTAAACATAATTCAACATGGATGAGAAAACCTTTCACCAATGTAAAATTTTTGTGAGAAATTCCTTTCACAATCATGATCATCGTAGTAAGTGAGAAATCCTTTCACAATAGCATTGATACTTTCCTTTCAAAGAATACCCAAATCAATTACAATAACTTCATAAACATTCATATCCTCACAAATTTATAATCCATAGGTTCATGAGTTCAGGGTACGTTTATAGTTAAAAAATCATAATTTCGGCATGGGTTAACATAATTTCAACTTAATATCATGTATTAACATTGATTCATTCATTAGAAGACTTAATCAAGAACAATCAATCACAATTTGAATGAAACCCATAAAAATTGGATTGAAACCCTAACTTCATCAATTGAATTGAGATTTGAGAAATTGGAAGCTTTGGGGACCTATGGAAGAATTGCTTCTATGGGTGAATACCCACATACCTTTCTATTGAAATCTCAAGAAAGATGGTGAATTTGGAGGCTTGAATGGAACCCTAGATCTTCTTTTTCTTCCTTAGGTTGAGAGAATTTGGGAAGACGGATTTGGTCTAGTTTAGGGAATTTAGGAGGGTGAATTGAAAGTGGTGATTTGGGGCTGAAACAAATTATATAAGACTTAGGGTAGAAGACAAAATAATATAGTATATGATTAAATAATTAGGAAAAGACCCAAAAGCCCCCATTAAAATTATTGCAGGACTCGACCTACAGTTAGGACGTACGAACCGTAGAATTTTCTACGGTCCGTACTGGTCAACCATAGACCAAGTAGTGGGACCATGAAATTACCTATCTTTTGACGGAACACTTATACGGTTCGTAGGTCTTTCTACGCCCGTGGAAACCAACCGTAGAAATCAACTTTGACCCTCAAAATTTCACTAAGTCTGGGACTCACCTACAGGACCTACTACGACTCGTACAAAGAATAGCAGACCATAGAAATAGACTTCAGCCCAAAACATATTTTCTTATTTTCCAATTTCCAAGGTGTTACAATGATGGATTAATATCCAATCACGCCAAGATTCTAAGACATTGGGTTAAAGTCCTGGTGCACCATGATGAGAAGATATTGTGTTCAAATCCCATCGATCTATGGCCGAAGACATCTTTATATGTGTAAGACATTAGGGTTCAAGCCTCAATTAACTATAATGGTTATTAAAGAAAAAATATGTTCTTTGGTTAAAAAGATATGAAACCTATTCCATTGAATTTGGGCCATTCCTTTATATGAATATGGTAGCAATGCATAATATGTTTGAAAGAAAACAAGTGATTGAATAATACACATGAAAATGGAATGAGGTACTAAATCTATCCTAAGATAATATGCTTATATGATTGTGTTCCTAACATAAAAAATGAGAGCTTTTGATAAATGTTAAAAATACGTACAGATCCATTTGTTGAAGTGAATGAGGTGTAAGCTCACCATGATAGGCATGGAAAAGGTCGCAACCCTTGTCTTGGATGTGGTATCACCAAAAATGTCTCTGGGCGACATGTTTTACAAAAAAAAATTCTTGTTTTATCTTCTGGTTTGTATTGGACAAAAAATAGTACAATTGAGGCACATTCTATAGTAAATCATAAGTTTAGTAATTCAACTATTCAGATCGTCTAGGACATCCATAGTTTATAATGATGAGACAAATTATAGAAAATTCAAAATTGATTAAAGAACCTAAAGATTTTTCTAAATGGTGAATTTTCTTGTATGACTTGTTATAAAGGCAAGTTAATTGTGAGACTATCACCAACGGAAGTTACAATTTGAGTCCTTCAAGGGGATATTTTCTTGCGTTTTAGGAATGTATATATGGGGATATTTGTGGACCTATTCACCTACCTAGTGGGTTATTTATATACTTCATGGTCCTCCTTCAAGATAGTCTCATGTGTGCCTATAGTCATCTTGCACTTTGACATTTGTAAAATTGTTGGCACAAATAATATGATTACAGACATAATTTTCTGATAATTAAATTAAGTCCATCTGTCTTGATAATACTGCAAAGCTTTCATCCGAAGTATTTAATGATTATTGTCTATTGATTGAGATTGAATAAATCCAATACTGAAGTGAATGTGAGAGTGTAAAATAAAGCTTATCAATTCAAATGTACACTTGATTGTGATGGATGATAACATCCAAATATATTTCTTGAAAAGAAATATAAATGGTCGTACACAATATATTTATCCAATTATGAGTCGGGGTCGACCCCATAGAGAATATGAAAGAATATTTTCAATAGCAAATATTTAACTCGATAGTCGTTATTTAAAAATAGGAGGATTTAAATTGAAACAAAAATAAAAAGAATAACAATAACTTGAAACTAAATATTTATTCATATTTAGATTATTAGAAATAACTAGGAATGTGTTCCCCATGATTTCATATCATAGCAAGAATATTGTACTAGTGATCTATTTCAATCTTTAGCATGCAAAGTTGGTAAGTTAGGTATCTCCTAAGTGATCGGTCATCCAAATGGGGAATTTCACATGCAACTTGGTCGGTCTATGGGTGTATGCTTTAGTAACCCTTACCCTTGACCCCAGATTAGCCCTCACATATTTGGGTTAGGCTATTAGCGGATTATCAATGCTAAATATCCGTTGTTTAATCTTTTTTCCCATTCATTACTTCCTTGCTCGGACATGTAGGAATAAGGCGAGTCCTAACGTT